ACAATGTGTGCTAACAGTTATAGCCAGAAATAGGGATGTCCCGATCACCTTTTTTTGCTCCCGATCCGATTCCGATCATTTGATTTTGACAATCTGCCGATACCGATTTTTCCCGATCCGATCTTTATGCAATGCATTAAGAGAAAAAAAAGGTAACAGATAACGGCTGGTCATCCAACGCGATGAATTCAGCTATCTTGGCTGTTATTTTGTTGGCCTTTTCACTGTTCTGGGGCAGTTTCTCTTTCCTTTTAAAAGTCTCTGAAAGTGTCGGTTGTTTCAGTGCCGTTACCTGAGTGGCCGCTGTGTACTCGTCGTGTTGTTGTTGGTGTTTATATTAGATTGGTCGTGTTGAACGTAGCTCTGTTCTTTCCACCACGCAGAACCTCCGCCTTGCAAACATTGCATCTGGCTGTTACACTGCCTTCGCTTTCAATTTTATAATACTTCCAAACTCCTGACATTTTCTCTGTCCCGACTCCCGAGTCACCAGCTGAACGTAGCCTCTTGTTAGCTCACTGCTACTATTAGACACTGCGCCCACTCTGTTGCCAGATTTGAGAGAAATAAGCAACCAGGTCTATGAAAACAAGCACATACATGATGTTGTGTAATTTTTAGGGCTGTCAGTCGATTAAAATATTTAATCGCGATTAATCGCATGATTGTCCATAGTTAATCGCGATTAATCGCAAATTAATCGCACATTTTTTATCTGTTCTAAATGTACCTTAGAGGGATATTTTTCAAGTTTTTAATACTCTTATCAACATATGAGTGGACAACTATGCTTTATATGTTTGTTTATTATCATTTGAACAATGACAAATATTCTCATGAATATTAAACACAACAACCTCTGAACATTACAAATATTCGCCTCAATTCAACCTAGAACCTCTCTCATACAATACTGTGTGTGTGTGTGTGTGTGTGTGTGTGTGTGTGTGTGTGTGTGTGTGTGTGTGTGTGTGTGTGTGTGTGTGTGTGTGTGTGTGAATGTGGAGGATCGTTGGAGCTATGTGCAGCTCAAGGCATATATGCCTGTGTGTATGAGCTGTGTTGCGGCACTATCCGTGCTGAGTGTGCTGTCTGGCTACCTGCATAAAGTCAAGTGCTCGGCGCAGTTGTCGGCGAAATGTCGCTCCTCTGTTTTCATTGAAACAGCTCCTTATATCCGTTAGCTCAGCTAGCTAGCACCAGATGCTAACAACAACACGTAAGGTGTGCTTCGCTCGCGCCACACATACACACACCCTCCCGGTCCTCCCGATGGCCAGTCCGGGCCTGCCGGTGAGCGTGGAAGTGTGGTCTGCCACAAGCGGGCAGCAAGAGCGGGGCTGTCAGCATCAGCTTGTAGATGGTATTTTAAACTCGATGCGCTCTGAAACTACGGCGGCCGAGGACAAAAAATACACATGCGTTAATCGCGTTAAAATAATTAGTGGCGTTAATTTTTTTTTGCGTTAACGCGTTATTAACGCGTTAACTTGACAGCCCTAGTCATTTTAAACCAAAACTAAGGCCTCAGGATGACTTTAAGATGTGAACATGGTCATTTTTGTTTTGTAACATTAAATAAAATAATTAAAAAAAAAATATTTATAAAAAAATAAAAAATAAAAAAAAATTCCGATCCCCGATTTTTTTCTCCCGATTCCGATCTTTTGAAAATCACGTGATCGGCTCCGATCCCCGATCACGTGATCGGATCGGGACATCTCTAGCCAGAAATAATACATTACATGGTGGTTATATGTCACTATGAGTCGTCATTTTTTGTTCAAGTAAAGTTATAATAAAGTATCATCAAATGTCAGTGAGTGACAAGAAATTCAAAAGTATTATGATAGTTGACCTTATATAGGTAATTATAAAATACCAAATAATGTGATATGATAATTGTTAAACACATTATGAATATCCGTGAGTGCTTACTGATTGCGATGAGCAGATTTGATTGCATTATTAGTATGTTGATATTACAATATATACATGATGGACATCACTGAAAGTGTTAAGTCATGTTTACCATATTAGCTTATTATGTGAGCATTTGCTAACAAGCACTAAACACAAAGTAAAACCGAGGCAAGATTAATCAATTTATTGGACACATTCTTACGTGAAGATAAAAATGTCCTGAGAGGAATGTGGATGGATATACAACATTTGTTTAAATCCATCCATGGGTTAAGATATTTCGTGCCAGCCAAGCCACAGGATATGCTCAAGTCAGCACTGCAGGTATTTGGGATTTAAAAAGCTAATTAAATTAGGATTTGAACCTGTGTCCTCAGACATAATGTCATTTTTCTTGATGGACTATAGTGGGGGCTCAGAGGTCTTTCCGTAACACACTCATGACTTTGTGATTTTCACTTGGCACACAGCCTCGTATCGTACAGCACAATATCTCATCCTGTATCTCCTCCCTTTCTTTCCTATTCATAGTCCGACATGAAAGCTGATAAAGATGTTTAGATAAATCAAAGGTGACTGGAACAAAACCAAAACCTTTTTCAGTTTGCAATGACATATTAACCAGTATTTTAACGTTGCACTACTCTACGTCCTGGATTCTTATTTTCACCTGTGTGTGTTTCTTTTTCTAAAACTACCAACTTTTTTTTCAACGTTCTTTAATCTCGTCATGTCAAACCGAGCACTCAACGGAGACACCTTTTAGAGATTACTTCCACATCAACTGAGTCAGCTGAGCGGAGGGGAGGTGGTTGCAGGTTAAACAAAAACATGGAATAAGCGGAGTGGAAAGATCCAGAGAGAAATCACACAGAACAGCTTTTCATCCAGGAACTGTCAACCATCCATCCTGCAAGATAAGACTCTCCTGTGAACAAACTAAACGTTTTCAATGGAGGCAATACATGCTAATTATCAGAGGTTTTTAATCCACATGACTGAAACATCCTCACAATGACCACTAATGTGCGAAGATAAGTTGTTGAATGGGTGAAACAACTGAAAAAAAACAGCAATTTAGCATCTTTTTGTTATATTTCAGTGCCTGTAATGACCACCATATTTAAGTTGGGTGACATAATGCCAAATTTAAGTCTCAAAAATTAAAAACTAATCAGCCTGCTGCAGACAATAAGCCTTTAACCCTGTAAGACTCAGAGCTTAGCTAACATAAAGGTGGAGGGAAGGGGGGTCCAGACTGGATTATTTACACTGTAGAGTTTGTTTAATTAAAGTTTTCTGCTTTGGGAGCTGATGAGGAGGCTAATATGGACGACATGGAATAACATGTTTACTAGTTTAGATACAAAATCATTGGGATTATTAATATGACTGAGAGGGAGATATTAAAGACAGCTTTTATGTTAAAGGGACACATATGATTGGATGCTTAGAGAGGAAACTGCACTCAAAATTCTGCAGAATGTTTTAGTTTTTTAAAGTTGATGAAATATCATTGTTCCAGTTTTCCTAATAAATAATTGTCACCGATTAGCAAATAAAAGAAAGTGAACAGGAAACATTTTGAGGATCAATTCATTATTCAATTAATTTGGGAGGATTTGCTGCTAAATATAAATGTATATATATATATATAAATGTTTAGAAATTGTTAGCATGGCTTAACAAGATATTTGAAGATGGGATTTTGGGCTTTTAAGAAATTGTGAAAAGATAATTTTTGTGCTTTTTGACGTTTAAAAAGATCAAGGAAACAGATGAAAATGAGTTGCTGTCGTTGCTATTAGTTAGCAGCCAATATCTTTCAAAGTACATCATTTTATTTAACAAGGAACAACCCTTAAACATCTATTAGAGACAAACCAAACGGATACTAGCAAGACGTATTGGGAAGGGGCGGGATATTGAAATAACTCTGTTAAAAAAGGAGGGAATGTGAAGTTGTTAGCACTAATTATGTTGTGCAAATGTAGGTCAATTAACCTACAATATGCTCTACTGTCATGCACACAAGAGAATATATAGTTTTGTGGTTGTGCTGCAGAGTTTCTCTACTACAAACACAACGGCTGTGAATGAGTTGTGTCCTTGTTTCCATCACGTGTGCTTCAAGGACTTCCTGCTCTTTCTGTCGCTGTGTGACTCCGTTAAAGGAACTCTGATTAAAAACCACTGCTGAGTGAGCGCTTATTGCCCAACTCTATTAAGAGATTCATCACTGCAGGGCTCAGCAGTCCACTCACTTCCTGCTGGGTCATGGATCAGATATGTGGAAGACCAAAAGCACTCCATTTAAGGATCTATTCAAGTTATACAATTGGGAGGATAATGAGGAAAATGTGATAACTCCAGATATATTGGTATTCACTATGAAATTAGATATATAACAGCCTACAACCTTATGTTATTTGCACCGGATTTTAAACACATGAGCACATACTACAGTTTAAAAAAGCAGGAATAAAATCAGGCTCATAAGTCAGACATGTGGAAGACTAAAAGCACTACATTTAAGGATGTATTCCTGAGATATAAGCTATCAAATGTGGAGGATAAGGACAAACAAAATGAATAAATATGACCCTTTTGAGAAAGTTATGCAACTACAGCTGACCAATGTATATTAGCTCTCCAAATATATGGGTATTCACTATGAGATGATATATAACAGCATATTTCAAACACATGAGCACATACTACAGTTTAAAAAAGCAGGAATAAAATTCACACTATGACATTATATAATCAACTACAACCGTATGTCTATGTGTGTGATATAATGTCATATATTCATTATCCTTAGTGTTATAGTCTCTTTTGTATATTTAAATATGGTGTAAATATATAATCGTTTATATTTTTGACCTTCTATTACAACTTATTTCCTCATGTTGTTTATGTTTGCAGCACCATACACCAAAGCCAATTCGTTTCTATGTGTAAACCTGTCACTAAACTGGATTCTGATTCTGATGTTATTGTCAGCAGATTTTAAAATGCAGGCTTTCCTGCCGCATTCACATTCAGCCCTGTGCGTAAAAACCACAACAACATACCTGTTTCCAGACCAGTGTGTGTCAGAGCATGGGTAACTCTGCTGTTGTGCTGCAGCCTCACTGCTTCTCTCTGGGATAAAGACAAATCCAATGCATGTTATGCGGGTAACTTGAAGGAGATCCGGTGCGTTCTTCGAGCTGGTTTAACGGTGCAAACACAACCGAGCCTCGATAATAAGTCTGGGGTAAAAACATGCGTCCATCCGGGTGTTATTGGACCTCCGACATGGGGCTCTGAGCATAGTTAGCTGCTGCTGCTCCGTCACACAGCCTGTATTGCATCGGAACTGAAGTGGGACACCGCAAGGCATCATGGACCTAAAGCTGCAACGCACCGGCCACGCAAACCACGCAGAGGTCCAGTCAGCTGAGTCAGATACAGGATTGTTTTTTCTTTCAAAGGTGATTAAATGGAAACAGATTGAGTTTTTCTTGTATATTTAATCTTGGAGAAATTGCATATTCATACAAAGTTAATTTTGAACAATGTTACCAATTATTATAACAATAGAGATCAAAAACATTAACAAGGCAATCAGAACTAATTGTGTATTTAAGAATTATTTCATCTGAAATATATGTGTTTTTGTTTTTTTATGTATTTAATTTATATAATGTTGTATTACTTTATATGTTTTACTCCTGATGTCAACTTTTTGGGATAAATGTCATATATGTATTAAAAATGTTGGGACAATTTTACCAATAATTAAAAGAGTATAGTAGTAATATTACTTCATATGTCTATTCCTGATGTCAACTTTTTTGTATACACAATGTATGATGCTCATATATGATCTTTAAAAAAAGTATCCTGTCAGCTCAGAGGCAGCCAATTCAATTCAATTAGCTTTGTTGACCTACATTATTGCCAAAGCTTTGTACAATTACGACATAAATATAAATAAATATACACAGTGGTGTAAAGTAACTAAGTACATTTACTCATGTACTGTACCCTCCTGTTGTCTTCGGGTCAAATCCGACCGATTTACTACTTTCATCAATCATAACTTTTTTGTTTTACATTCGATTGCATTAAGGCTTTATGATATCCTTCACAGTAGACCTTTGAACATATCAAATAGCTGATCACCACTTTCATTGAATTTTGGATGATTTAGTCAACTTTGTAACACCCATGGTGTTCCCGGTCACATGACCGCCATAAAGAAAAGGAATTAGTAACCATCCGGATCAGATAAAACACACACACAAACACCCACACACACACACACACACACACACACTCTAGATGTGTCCCCCCCCTTATGTGCCCAATCCCCCCATGTGAATCACACCTGGCACACACAAACACACAAACACACACACACAGAACAATTTGACACATTTCCCGCTCTTATGTGCCCATCCCCCCACATGGATCACACCTGGCACACGCAATACATGTTCAGTGTCTATTCTTTGTATATTTACTGCAGTTTTTCATGTATACCAGTAGTCTGATACAATATTTACAGTTTGAAAGGGTGTTAAATGAAATGTGGTGATGATTAATGGTTTTTGTGTTAATGTAATAGCAGTTAAAACAGGACCGGTCAAATTTGACCACGAACACCAAAGTAAGGGGGAAACGAAGACAATAGGAGGGTTAAGTACAATTTTGAGGGACCATGTTTTGCTTCTTTGTACTTCTACTTTACAGATTTGGATTGATGATGTGAAATATAATCAGCTCTTAAATCAGACTTGAAATAAAATCTGATCCTTTTACAACAAACACTATATGAAAGTCCTGGTTATGCAGATAGACATGCTTCTCTCTTCCACTTTTAAACCAACTCCTAAAGACTCTTCACACACTCCGTCCTCATGTTTCAATGGGAATACACACCACTGTGCAACAAGGTTGGGTTGTCCTCTCTGGCAGGGAGCCGTGACACACACACACACACACACACACACACACACACACACACACACACACACACACACACACACACACACACACACACACACACACACACACACACACACACACACACACACACACACACACACACACACACACACACACACTCTCTTTTCTTTATGAAGCCATTGTTGGATATCTGCCACCTCATATCACCTCATTATTGGACCGGACCTCTGGACCATATTGTACTCTCTCCAGTGATTGGACCACAATTGAACTTCCCAGGGAGCTCGGCAAATCTGTTTTAAATGTACACATAGAATGTACTTTAAAACTCAATAAGGTAGCATTCATTAGTCCGTTTAGATCCTTAATGTATAACCACCTTAGCCTGCAGTTCCCTTTAAACTGTATCATTCATTGAGTTTGCTGTATTTTTCAAGGACCATGGGGATAAGGATACAGGAGTTGTTTGAAGAATCTGGGTTTTTATTTATCAAAAAGTAAAAAATTAAACATTATAAATCGTAATTAATAGGCCTATAAGGGAGGTAAAAAGAAAATAACTTAATTTAACATAGAAGCAACCCGAACAACTGCCACAATAAGGGAAAATACAGAACAGTATATAGTGGATAGGCCAAACCAATAGCAATCAATGGAGACTAAGAAGACACCGACCAAGCCCAAATCCCCCCCGTGAAATGTAAGAAAATGGTTTGGCCCAATCGACTGCTGCCAGTATTTAGGAGTCCTCAGCACCTTCTATATTCTACATATTGTCGACGTCATTTTTAGGAGAGCGTTTTCTCTTAATGATCTTTAGAGATTAAATTATTAAGTTAAATGATGTTCTTCTCAAAGTAAGTATAGTTAAACGTTTATATACCCATTTGAAGTCCTGTTTCTTAGGGTTACAACTCAAAATACACTTAAGTTGTTTCTTTTTTGTATCTCTTTTTGTTTTAAATCTGATGCTTGGCTTTTGCAACTGTCCCTGTAAATATAAAAAACTCTACAATCAAATGAACAAGTCTACCATTTTCTAGTTGCAACCTTAAAGTTAAAATTAACATGACGATATCAAATCTTTGTGCAGTTTATCAGAACATCTTTGCACAGAACTATTATGAATTGGGCCCACAGTACGTCTCTGCTCTCATTATGCAGCCCAGACGTAATTTCATGCACCGAAACGCTCCAAATGCACTTCTGTGATAATGAATTTACCTCATCAGAGCGGCAGCATGTTTCCATTTGACAGATGTGCTTTACTTACTGTCCAAAAAGGTGTGAGATTAAGTCTTTTCCTTTATTTAAATTCCAGTCGACACTCGTGTCTTCATGCCTTACAGCATTAATCATGACAGCCGCCTGAAGTGCTGATCAGGCAGAATCACACATGACCTTCATGCGTTTCAGTAAACTGTAAATATCAGTGCAGATATGATGCAGAAAAAACATATCTTTCTCACAATAGTTGCTGAATCCAAAGTTTAATCGGTTCCTAGATCCTCAATTAAGCCGTCTCATTTCATTTCATTTCAAACCTTTATTTATCCAGGTGTATCCCATTGAGATCATTGATCTCTTTTTCAAGGGAGACCTGCTCAAGTAGGTTCCACATGAAACATAAAAACATAAACAGAGCAACAAAAGGACATCAAACAGCATCATTACAGGGATTACAATTTACATAACTATCCACATGAACAGGTACCAACAGCTTCCGATTGAGTAGCATCCAACCGAGCTTTAAAAACATGTAGTGGCAACAGATTGCTCAGTTTCCATTTCAATTGCAGACTATTCCAAGACAGTGGAGCTGCGCATCTAAATGCTATCTTCCCTAAGACAGTCCTAGCAGTTGGCACATTTAATAAAACCACAGCATGCGATCTCAGGCAGTAGCCACTTACAATTCGCCGTGAGATCAGGGAGCAGATGTAGGATGGAAGTTTCCCTAACATGGCTTTGTATATAAAATCATGCAAAGTCTGTCAGCAAATGTTTTTGCATGAGTCATGAATTTGATAAAAACCCACAATATTGTTTTAATAGCACTCCTTCGCTCCAGTGTCTATATATCCGTTTTGAACTAAACTCATTGAATCCTCAGCATATGGTTCAGTGTTTGTTGTGACAATCAACCCATGTGTGATTGATATTTTCTGGCACGCAGTGGTGACACCGTTTGACAGATGCTTCATGGATTTAAAACCCCATCTTTAAACTTCATGTGCGCTATATGGCTTCTGCTCAGTGTCAAGGTTGTGATTTTATAGCAAAGTGAAGGTTGGTTATTCATCACAGAGAGTTAAAGCATGAGGGATTTGCAGTTATGTCATGTACAGTACATATAGAGCAGGCGTGTCAAACTCAAATACACAGTGGGCCAAAATGTAAAAATGGGTACTAGTCGAGGGCCGGACTGGTTCAATGTTTATAGCAAAACGTATTGAAATGAACTTATTGCACATATTAAACCTGGAACTAACAAAGCTTAAATTATTGCTAATAAAAACAACATTAAACATTAAATAATCAGTTGCATTCATTTCTTATGGCTCTATCTGCAGTCATTTCTTATGATTACATTTTTCCACAGGCCAACAACAGCTTCAAAAAAACTATTTCCCTCAAAGAAAAAACCAAACATGCCCTGTTGTCGTGAGAAAGAAAGTGCAGAAGGAAACATCCATGTAAACTCAGCTTGCTGCTCTGTGATGCTAGTTCAAGCCAGATACTTGGCATCTCATCTTGGGTGCAAGTTCATCAATGTTTGGGCTCAGGCTCTGAGCTGAGGAAACCCTCAGGATGGAGTGAAGGTGTGCGTGCAATATACCGGCGGGCCAGATCTAATAGTAATTAAAAATTATCCTGCGGTCCGAAATTAAATCCACCAAGGGCCTGATTTGGCCCCCGGGCCTTGAGTTTGACACATGTGATGTAGAGCCTTTGAATTAGGAATTTGGCCATATTCTTTTAAGTGGGGTGGTACTTTTCTTTAGTCAGTGTGTAACGTACGTTCAGCTTCTTCCTTTTGGTTGGAGGTTAATAGTTCAAGAAACAAAGTGGTATTAAAACAGCTTTGTTTAAATCACTCAGATTAACAAGTTGTAGCAGAATCGTAGAAATAACGCCAATTTATTTGATTGTTTATGTTTGATCTTTTGTCTGTGTTGTTTGAATTTGTGTCACAAACTTTTCTTTTAACTGCAAACCAAATCTAGATTTCTTGTTTTAGTAAATACCCAGCTACACAAAGTTACATTTCTTTAACAATAGCTGGTGTAACCGAACCCTGTACCTTAATGAATATCAGGTTGCAGTATCATGTCATCAAGTTAAAGGATAATATATTTAAGACACC